TCAAACGGAACCCCGCGCATGTGTCCATCACCTCGAGCAGCGAGAGGATGGGCTTCGATACCACACAACCGAGCCTGACCTTGGCCTACCATCATCGGCACCGTCGCGATAGTTCCCATATTGATATGGTTCCGCCGCGCGTCCAATGCTCCAGTCCGTCGCCCGCCTTCTGCGCGCAGCTATCACCGAACGAAGTAGCCCCCCGTGGCAGTCGTTCGACGTGTCCAAGGCGATGAACGCGGCGTCGTCGCCCTCCACCGCGCGGCAGTCCTGCTCGCAGCTCTCGGCCCGCATCGCCATGCAGTAGACCTGATCGTCGTCGCAGAGCTCGCACTCGCATTCAGCGAACTCGATCTTCGCAACCGCCTTCGGCTCCGAGCCCTCCTGCTCGATCGCAGCGTTGCCTTTGGCTTTCTCGTCCACTGTCGTCGGCATCGCCATCATCGTCGTCGACTACGTCGTCATCTTCCTCCTCATCATCATCCTTATTGCCATCACTTTATCTGACACAATCGTGATCGTCGTCAGCATCATCACAATCAGCATCATCGGCAACTGTCGCATCCGAGTCATAATCATGATCATCATTCTGATCATCGCCAATAGCATCAACAGCAGCAGCCCCATGGTTTCAATCATCAGAATCCTCCTCATCCACATGACCGTCATCACCACCACGACCATCAGATCCATCATCAGCAGCAAAAGCAGCAGCACCATCATCATCATCATCATCACCACCACCATCATCATCATCAGCAAAAGCAGCATCATCATTGTCGTCATCATGCCTTCCGACATCATCAATATCAGAATCATGATCGTCGTCATCATCAGACTCAGCATCATCAGCAGCAGCCACATCCGAATCAGAATCTGCATCCTGATAAACAGCATAATCATACCCAGCGTCACCGTCAATAACAACAACAACAACAACAACAACAACAACAATTACTAGCACGTGGGGACACTCCGTTCTCACCAGTGCCAGGGTTTTCATAGGAGGCGGGCAATACCCCCACTTTGTGGGGGGGGCCGGTTCAAGCTCTACCAAATTTCCAAACGACTCTTCGCCACCACCCACACCCAGCTTCCCGCCCTATGACGTTCGGACACTTCACTTCGTGGCATGCGGACGACCGTGGCTACTATTCAGGGCCCCGCGGCCGACGACGACGGCGTGCGCGCGCGAAGAAAAAACGAATGTGTCCCGCATGGTATTATTTGACAGGGATGATGGCCCTGGCAGGTGCGCAACCGTTGTTGCAGAAGTTCGAAAAAGTTGCTCGCAAAAGCCCGTTTGACAGAAATGTTTAAAAAGTGTTGGGTTTCCTACGAATCCGCAAGAGCGCGCGGGATGAGATTTTGACATTTTTTGTTGAAAAACCATTGGTTTTTTGATGTTTTTATGTTAAAATCGCTGCGAACACTAAGGTTTTGGAAGGATTTCGTCTTGCGCGCGCGAATGTCCACTTTACCTTATTTTTTGCAAGGGATTCTTGAAATTTGATTATATTAGAACAAGAAATGTCATTTTCTATTGTTTTTTGCAAGGGAAAGCGGATTACAACAAAACAACCGGATCCTGTACACACCCTCTTTTCTGAGGCTTCCTCACGAAAATGATGAAAATGTAACTGCGGCCTAGGCGGCGCAGGGGGGGCGCGCACCAGGGGGCCCAACAATAATTATTCTTTAGAATAAATAATGTTCAACAACAACAACAACAACAACAACAGCAGCAGCATACTCATCATCAGCAGCAGCATCAAAAAGTATCATCAGAATCGTCATTCTCGTCGTCGTCATCATCATCCTCATGTTCATCATCAGCAGCAGCATCAGCTCATGATCATCGTCATCGTCATCGTCATCGTTATCATCATCACCATCATCCTCATCCTCATCCCATCCCATCCCCCCAATTGCTCCTCAACCTCCGCCTCTCTCTGCCCTCCCCCTCTTCTACCACTCCCCACCGCGCGCGCGCGGGGCGAGACAAAGGAGAAGAAAGACGGGGAAGGAGGGAAAAGGAGAGCGACGATGAGGAAGAGGAGGGGAGGATGATGATAGGCGGAGGTGCGGGCGGAGGAGACCGAGGTGGAAGACCTCGCCCCGACTACAGCCTGGGGGAGCTGTGCACCTTACCCCCCCTGCGGGCGGCGACCGTACCGACAACTCCTCGAGAGGGGTGCCGAAGCCGATGGGCCCCTTAGGGCGGGGGTGAACGAGGCAGGGAGGATGTTCGAAGGGCCTCGGCGGCACTCGGGGAACTGCAAAGAGCAGAAGCATGCGTCTGGCTCTGGAGGCCATGGGGACCTCCCGAAAAAAACCTGGGGACACCCTGGGCCACTGCAGTGATCGCTGTGACCTGCAGAAGTTCCAAGTCCGCATGGCTGCTCCAAGCTCCAAGTTGGGCCCGCGACTTGGCTTGGAGCCGTTGGAGCAGTTAGGCGGACTTGCGACCTGCCTGCGGACGCCTTGCACGTGGGTTGCAACCACCTTGCAACTGCTGCAACTCCTGCAGGTCGAACCGACAGGCACAGCAGGGACACCCCGCGAACGCCGCCCCCACCACCCGGAATGAAGGCGAAGCCAGGACGAGGATGCGTTCGAGTGAGGGTACGCCGAGAATATCTGAGATCCGGAGGCTCTGGAGGATGTGCTGGGCGCCGCGCCCTTCTCAGAGCCTTCCGGAGAACGCTCTGAGAGCGATCCAGCACGCTCTGAGCGGATCTATCCTCGCCGTGGCCCCGCCCGACAGGGCTGGTATCTTCGACGGCCCCCCGGGTAAGACGAAGCGAGCGCGAGGGTAAATCCGGGTGATGATACATCGAGAATCTCTGAGATCCGGAGGCTCGGGAGGATGTACCAGGCGCCGCGGCCTTCGCAGAGCCTCCCGGAGTCGGCTACACGCAAGAGTGACCCTGGGTAAGAGTGACCTTTGGTGCGCGGCTTTTTGCGGGCCGCGGGGGGACCAAACCTGGGCGCGCAAGCCGCTGCTCCTGCTTCGTTTTCAGCCATCTGGGGACCCGTCTGTGCCCGCACCAAAAGTCACTCCAGCGAAAGGTCACTCTTACGTCTAGTCGACGGAGAGCGATCTGCGAGCTTTCCGGCACGCTCTGGCACGGCTTCCTCCTCGCCCCGGCGCTGCCCCGCCCGAGGAATGGCCCCGGGAGCCGCTCCGGGGGCCCCGCAGGAGTATCGTTGAGCCGATCCCCATCCCCAGCGGCGTGGCCTGGGCACCGCTGGCCGATTTGCCCACCTAGATGGGGATATAGGTCGTTCTCCTCGGGGGGGTTCGAGGGGTGTATCCCCGACTGGGGTGGTAATTTGGTGGGGGCCTCGAAGGGGCTTGAGGGAGGGTTATGGTCAGGTCGGACATGTCCCCCTACAGGCGGATTTTGGGCGAATTCTTTTTGTATGTATATATAGATACTTTAAAAAATCCATAAGATTGAAAGAAAAAACAAAACAAAAAAAAAAACAAAAAAAAAAACAAAAACAAAAAAAAAAAAAAAAAAAAAAAACGAAAAAACAAAATCGCCCCCTGACTATTTTCTAACCATTTCAAATACCCCTCCTGTAGAGGGGCAGGCCCGACTGCAGGTTACAGGGCTCGCGTAAGCGATACCGACCGCATGCGGGGCGCTCCGACGCCAGTCCGCCACGGCGACGCGGCGCCACGGCGCGCGCGCGGGGGACGGAGGAAGCGCCGCGCGGCTCTTTCCCGCCGCAGGCCGCGCCGCCCCCCACCGCGCCGCCACCCGGGGCGCGAGCGAGGGCGCCCGCCACCACCGCGCGCGCGGGGGGCGCCCCCGAGCCAGACCGAAGGGGGTCCAGGGACACACGAACGAATACATACACACCTGTCCCAGGATTCCCCTTATTTTTCCCCCCTGTTTTTGGATTTCCGTCTTCCCCCCCACTCCCCCCGCATATTTTCGCTATCGCAAGAGTTTCCTGGGGATCGACGATTCCTTGTGCCTGTTGTGTGATTTGTCCCTCCTGACAGACAAAGCCTGGACCGGGACAGACTCGGACCAGGACAGCTCGGACCGGGACAGAAGGGCCTCGGAGGCAACTGCTGGGAGACCTTCGTCGGAAAAATCACGGAGGATTCAACCCCATGGGGGAGCTGTTGCGCCATAGTACGCCGCGGATGAAGCGGAAACATACCAGACTAAGCTGGATCAGGCCGGATTAAGCGGGATTATACGTCGGATGATACCGGATTTCGGACCAACCGGATTTCGGACCAAGGCGAAATCAAAAGTTGACCTCCCAGGAGTTGCATCCGAAGACTGGGACAGAAGAGCGACCAACAGAGCGACCTCACACTGTGGCTTACGCGGGCCGCCAGCGCGGCGCGCTACATTGGAAACGAAGGCGCGACCTTACGCGGGCAGCTTACCTGAGGGCGCGTACCAGGCCTCGGGACCGTGAACAAACTACTCAGGATAAAAACCCGGTCCCCAGAAAGGAGTCCAGACGTCTGGGGGCCCACGTGATGGGAAAGCCACGACGTCGGGGGACTGGCCTCTGCGGGGACAGGAGCCGGGCGCGCGCCCACCTTGAGTTCGGATCCGGGAAGATTCGCCGGCCCGTCCCTGTGGCCGCTGCGGCCTCTTCTTGGCTTCTGGAAGGGCCCTTCTGGGCCACCTCGAGGAGGAGGAGGAGCAGGGGGGGGAGGAGGAGGAGGAGGAGGAGGAGGGAGGAGGAGGAGGAGGAGGAGGAGGAGAGGAGGAGGGGAGGAGGAGGAGGAGGAGGAGGAGGAGGAGGAGGAGGAGGAGGAGGAGGAGGAGGAGGAGGAGGAGGAGGAGGAAGAGGGAGGAGGAGGAGGAGGAGGGGAAGCAGAGCTCGGGCGCGAGCCAACATGGATTCTACGGATCCGCGAGTCCGGCGCGCGGGCGCCAGGCCCGCGGAGCGGGGAGGGTGCCCCCCGAAGCGCGGCGCCAGGCGCCGCCTGGCTCGGCGGCGGGCCACATCGAGCTTGCATGGAGGCGGGGCCCATCGCTGGTCCGCGCGCCCCGATCTACAGTCGGGGCGTTGACCTAAGGAACCCTAAATAAGGAACGAGGCCCCTTGCTCCCATAAGTTAAGCTTCGATTTCCCATGGAAAACCCAACGCAAACTGTAAAACGATCAAGGAACACCGAGCTCCTCGCCAACGAGAAGGGTTCCTTCTTCAGCGCCCCGACTCTACGCTGTTGCGCTTCCTCGGACAAAGAGGGTGGGCAGCCCAGGGCCCACGTGGTGCTCCCTCCTGGGTTGTGCGCCACTGGGGCCACCGATGCGGCCTGGAACTCTGGCTCAGAGTGTCGCGGCGGCGACGCCAGCGACACGCCGTGCCCTGCGAGCGGATGGCGCGTCGCTCCACTCCGCGGGGCAAGGGGATCGAAAAGGCTCGAACGTTGACGCCTGGGGGCCGGGAAGTGGATTGCGTGTCGCGCCGAAACGTGGTGGGCCAGAACTGGCGGAGCGACACGTTGAGCCCAAACTCCCAACCGAAATTCTCCCTTGTGGGCTATCCGCCTATGCTGCCGCCGATAACTTCGGCGGGCCCGCGGGGTCTCAGAGGCCAGCGGCGCGAGCGCGGACGCCGCCGAGGCCTGCGGGCGCCGCGGCTGGTGGCGCGGCGGGTGGCGCCGCCGCCGCCACGGCGGAACAGGGCCGCTGCGCCCACGGCGATGTGCACTCTCTTCGCGAGGAGCCGCCTGGCGACGTCTCCGTCGCCACCCGCGTCGTCGCCGTGGGCGGCATTGTCGTCGCCATCGTCAGCGTCGGCGTCGGCATCGTCGTCATCGTCCTCCTCCTCCCCCTCCTCCTCCTCCTTCTCCTTCTCCTCCTCTTCCTCCTCCTCTTCTTATTATGACTATTATCATGCTTAGTATTCGTCTTATTATACGTCTTGTTATTATTATTGTTATTCGTATTTTTAATCGTATTATTGATCGTATCATCATTATGATGTTTCCTCTTTTTATTAATAGTCGTATTCGTCTTCTTCTTTTTCTCGTTAGTATGTCTCCTCCTCCTCCTCCTCTTCCTCCTCCTCCTCCTCCCCCTCAACCTTCCCCATCATCATCCTCTTTCTCCTCCTCTTATAATCGTTGATATTCTTATTAGTATTAGTATTAGTCTTATTATTCTCAGTAGTAGTAGTAGTAGTAGTAGTAGTAGTACTAGTACTAGTACTAGTAGTAGTACTAGTAGTAGTAGTAGTAGTAGTAGTAGTACTACTACTACTACTACTACTACTACTACTACTACTTATTAGTGTTCTTCTTCATTATTGTTCGTCTGATTCTTCTTCTTCATAGTATTATTAATATCATTGTTCTGATTCGTCTTATCATTATTTTTGCTATTAGTAATAAAACTATTCTTCCTCTTTCCCCTCCCCCTCCCCCTCCTCCTCCTCCTTTTCCTTACCTTCTCCTCCTCCTCCTTTTCCTCTTCCTCCTCCTCCACCTCCTCTGCCGCCTCCTCCTCCTGCTCCACCTTTTCTTCTTCCTCCTCCTCATCCTCCTCCTCCCCCTTCCACCTCTCCCTTCTCCTCTTCCTCCTCCTTCTCCTCCTCTTCTTCTTCTTCACATCAGTATTTATATTGTTCTAAGCATTCTTCTTATCACTCTTGTAGCTATTCTTCTTATCAGTATCAATCGTATTCGTATTATGATTGTTCTCATTATTCGCATTATTCGTATTATTATAAGTGTTCGTTCTATTAGTCGTCTTACTAGTATTGGTCATAGTAGTATGCTGCTTAATCTTAGTAATGGCATGATTGGTTTGTTCGTCTTGTTAGTATTGACGAAGTTTCATTATTTTCTTAATATTATGATTATGATCATAAGAAGTATTACTCTCCATGGTATCATTGTTGTTATTACACATGTGTCATTCGTACTTGTATTATCTTTTATGATTAGTCGCATCATTATTATTATTTGATTATTATTCGTTATCCTCCTTCTCCTCCTCCTCCTCTTCCCCATCCCCCTCCCCCTCCTCCTCATCCTCCTTCTCCTCCTCTTCTTCTTTTTGTTATTCCTCTTCTTCTTTTCTTATTATTATTATTATTTATAATATTCATCCTCCTCCCCCTCCTACTCCTCCTCTTCCTCCTCCTGTTCCGCCTGCTCCTCCTTTTCCGCTTCCTCCTCCTCCTCCTCCTCCTTGTCCTCCTCTTGTGTTCTTTTGTCCTAATTGCATGAGCGTGTTCCGCACGCTGCCGCTTCTCCCAGGAGCGATCGCCTGGTCAGCCTCGGGGGGGATAATGACAAAAACAAGAGAAAAAGTGACAGCAGACAGATGGGAATGACGATGGAGCAAAGAAAAGGCATCACATCGTCAAATCGTCAAATCGTAACGAACAGGCGAGATAGATAGCTGGAGAGATGCTGGCGGCGGCAGCAGGTCTACCCGATTGCACCCTGCTTGCGTGGAGACGGTGTGCAGACGCTCCTGCGGCAGTCGCTGCGCCCGCAGTGCCGAGCAAAAGGCGGCTGCCAGAGCTGACGTCGTCGGCCAAGACAGGGCCGTCGAGGCGGGGGACTGCCAGTGGCGGGGAGGGAGAAAAAAGTAGCTGGGAAAGCCAACAAAACAGGAAGCAAGTGGAGGTAAGACGTGATAAGCACGGCGAACGCTTGGTTGACGCGGCCGTTTGCGGCTGAGGAGGTGGAGATGTGGCGGCTGCTCGCAGTAGCGCAAGTAGCGGCGGCGTTCCCTAGCCCAAAGGCCTGTCCCTCGGAATCTCCCAAAGGCGCCCCCGATGCCAAAGGCGGGATCCCTCGCGCGCAAGCAGGCGCAAGGTTCTCAGCACTTTGACCTCGCGGCCGCCATGTGGGTTTCCACCGAGCGAGATGAAGGATTGGGCCATCGTGGACGCTGGGCCGGCCACACTCGCCAAGTGGGAAGGCAGGTAGACCTCTCCCCCTGCACATCGGAACCCCCCCGAAGTGGCCCCCAGCCCCACGACTGCCACCCTCCCCTGCAAGCAGGAGTATAGGACACCCAGACCGAAGAGGCGGGGGCCACCTGGGGGATTTCCACCGCGTTCTGGGGAGTACGGGGGGGGGGGGGTCTGCCTTCCGCGGCGGCGGCCCGGGGGCCGCTGGTGGGACACGCCCCCCCCCTGGTGATGGTCCCCGATCGGCCGCCCACCACCCAGTTGCGCAGGCAACGCGCGGGGTCGCGACTGCCGGGTCGAGGTGGAGGTAGAGGCAGCTCAAGAGAGGGCTGGGCACAGCAAGGCACGTGGGGCCGATCCCAGACATCGGGCGTCTCGAAAAAATCGAGACTGAGGTTTTTCATAGTTTTTGGCCTCTCGGGGCCCTCGCCGGGCCTCGGGACCGTCAAAAAACGACTCGGGAGGAAAAACCGGTCCCAGGGAAGTGGTCGGGAGGTCGGAGGCCCGTGTCTCGAAAAAATCGAGACGTCGGATGTCTGGGATGGGGGTTCGAAGCGCGGCGCGGACCACAAGGCCCCTGCAGCGCGCCGCAAGGTGGCGCGGCTGCCCGCTGACCGCGCCGCGCCATCGGTCGCGGCCGCGGCCGCCCTGGCCCTCGCCAGGGCGGCCCGAGACCTTGCCCGCCCCCGCCCCAGAATCCCGCCAACCTATCCGCCCGCCACAAGAGCGCGGGCGCAGTGAGGTTAGCAAGCTGAAGCGGGGGGGCGGGGCTGCGAGAAAGAAGCCAGGAGCTAGGGAAGGTCGGGGGCTGGTAGAGACCTCATCTCAGCGCTCACGCCAGTTGAGGAAGCGTAGCTCGTGGGCGAGAATGCTCCTTAGGGACTCACTGGAAGCATAGCTTCTGCTGTCGCTGTCGACGCATGCCGAGACCTCATCTCTACCACGCGCCGGGTGGTCTGGCATAGCTCGCGGGCGAGAATGCCCCTCGGGGACCCACTGCGTAGCATAACTATTCCTGAGGTGGTCGCCGTTTGCTGAGACCTGCAGGAGCCCCTTGCTTCCGCCGTCGGAAAGTGAATCAGGAGATGGCACGACCTGCCGCGCCGCTGCCGATCCTGTCGGCGAGCGCGCACTGCTCGGTCAAAGGGTAGCGCCGAGGCGAGGTGTCCGAAGGTAGCAGCTGGCGTTCCGCAACCTGTCTGCTGCAAAACAATTTTGTAACACATATATATATATATATATATACATTATGGTAATAATAAAAATAAAGATAATAATAATAATAATAATAAATCAAAAAAATAATAATGATAATAATAATAATAATAATAGTAATAATAGTAATAATAGTAATAACAATAATAACAATAATAATAATAATGATACTGATAATAATAATAATAATAATAAGATGCATCCGGACGGGGGGGGTGGCGCACCGACGGGCCGCTGCAAGGCTGCCCCCATCGGGAGGCGTTAGCCTCTTGGTTAAGGGCAATGAAGGAGAAGTGCCCTGCCTCGCGGCACAGCTTGCATTCAACTTCCCACAGTAGCCAGCGCGCGGATCCACCGCCTGCGTTCGCATCTTCGCGCGTGCTCTCGCCGTGGGTCTGGCTGCTTCCATGATGGTCGGTGTTTGGAATGTTTTTTCTTGCGTCGCGTCGGAGTCTGGCTGCTGGCACTTGCTTGAGATTGTCACCCGACCCATGTCGGTCTCTCGCGTGAGGGGTCTCTGCCGGCTTGGTTTGAATATCGGCGTCGGTCATGGGCCATGGTGCCATTGTCTGTGGGCTGGTGCTCGTCATGGATTGGTCAGTGCTTGTTTGTTGTCAGGCTGCTTCTGCAGCGGCGCGTGCTCTGCCAAGGGTGCCCACCTGCTGCGTCTTGAGATCTCCTGGATCTGCTTGCGCTCGCACGTCTGCGTCGGTTTTACCTGCCGGGGTGGGTCCGTCAGTTGCATGGCATCAGATTGGTCGGCTCGTGCGTTGGTTGGAGGGTCAAAGCTGAGGTTTGCAAGGCTCGCCTGAGCTCGCGGCCGTGCCGGGCCTCGTTGCTTACCATTGCTGTCATTCGCTGGGTCGTCTGGCCGTGGGCCCTGTGCACTGATGAGCTCGGTTATCGTCTGCATGGCTGGTTTCGCAGTTGTGCTCTGGCAGCGCGTAAATGCGAAGGGCGTCGGCGCGTAGGTCGGGTTGTAGCGCATGGCCACCTTGCACCACTATCTCGCAGCAGATCTAGATTGCGCCCTAGCGCTTCGAAAACTCGCTCGCCCGATATCTCGGCGGCGCATTTCAAGTCAGGACAGGGCTGGGGGGCCCACAGGGGGGGAATTCCGCGGGGCGCCCGCGAATTGCAGGGCGGGGGGCCGAGCGCGATCAACTTCCATTGCCCCAAATGGCGAGGCCACGACCTGGGACATAGATATGGGGCGTTTCGCCCAACCCTGGCACATCTGTGGGCGTCCGATCGCTTGCGCCATCAAGCAGGACGCAAACCGCCACCTCCCAGTGCGTTCGCCGTTCCAGCCCACCGCTTCGGCAACTCTGCAAAACCACGAGGGCTGTGCGTCAAGCCCATCGCCGCCTTTTGCCGCAACGACAAAGCTCGCAAAACCCGCCGTGGAGCGCGTTCAAAGCGAAACAGAAGAGCAAGCCTCTCTTGACCTGAAAAGGAAGTGGCATCGCCCAGATGGCGCCCACGCACATCGATCGACCCCGCGCGCGCCGGCGCACCCCGCTGGACCCAATGCGGACCCAAATATCTGACTGGGCCCTGAACTGGGCCCTTCAACGCGCGGCGGGGGGATGGGGCTGGGCTTAGAGAAGTTGTTCACGCGCGACGCTGCCCTCCCTCTGAAGTTGGATTGGAATTCCTGACTGCGGGAAGTCTGTCTAGAGCCACGGTGCCCGAGATCCCCGTCGAAAAAAAAAGCGCCTGGATCTCGAAGGCTCTTCACCCGCCAACTTCATGCCCAGCCAGGGAGGCGAGTTAAAATCCTTATCTGCAAACCACGGCCCCCACCGCTGCGAGGGCTCGCCACACTGAGTTCCCTTGCCAGCGCCAGTACTCCACCTCAGCGTTGCCAGCGCCAACACTCCACCCCATCCCCGCAACGAGAACCAGAACGCAGCATGCCTCTGCACTTCTTTAAAGGAACAACTCTCCGTCTACGCTTGACCTTTCTAGCCGGGGAAAAGACACGTGTGCCAGAGCTCTAACGGTGCTGCCCCCGTCGAAAAACGCTTCCCACGTGGGGGGGGCGCCTGCGCGCCGCTTGACACGCGCAACATCGCTCTCAACTAGACCCTTGCCCTCGGCATTCCTGTCAAGAGGCAACTCCTGGATATCCCGATATTCCCGTCATTCTTGATAATCGAACTCCGCGGCGCCCACCCCGCCGCTTGGGACCACTCAGGCTCCGCGCGTCCACCCACTCCTGAGAAGACGACAGGGCTCTGCAAGCGAGCCGACCATCGCGCCGCTTCGATCCATGCCGACAGCGGGTCGCGGCCCCTTCCACTCGCACGGCCCAGACAGAGCGGCTTCGCCCCCGCGACCCCCACGCCTCAGCCAGCGGCCCAGCCTCGCGCTCACGCGCACGCTCACGACGCTCCTGGAAAAAGCGCCTGGCTCAGTTTAGCCAGCTCGTGCTCTAATTGCTCAAGTTCCTGCACTGAACATCCCATCGGGGCCCTCGGAGCGCAACCCTCTGCTTCAACAACTCCCGCCTGCGAGCCGAAAACTGCACATTGGTCCATCGTTCTCTCTGGCTTGAGACGAGCTGGCCCTGCAAACACTAGGACCGTGTCTCAAGACTAGCGACCGGCGGCGCGTGCTCTTTAAGCCATGCTGGGCTGGCTTCCGTGGGCTCTGCTGCAATTGCAGCGAAGCGCCGGCCCCGACCCTCCCCCGTCCGCGCCGCCCGCGTTGTCTGGCCACGCTGACAACTGTCCCCACTTTGCGCTGCCTGCGCAGGCGCACGGGAATGCATACTTTCATTCAGGCCGCAGCGGAGTGGCAGGCGGTCTTGTGGGGGAGTCCCCCGACACCTACAGCTTAGCCCCAAAGTGCGTTAAAACTCCTGTTGGAGCGATAGCATCTCTCATATGTGTGGGGAAGGGATAGCCAGTGCGATCCGAACTGCTGGGTTCAAACAAGCGCACACGATTGTGCCATTTAAAATCGTGCAAGCCAGCAAACGCTGCTGGGCCGATATGTTTCGCACAGCCACCCCCGCCCCATCCCTGAGACGCTCCATGGAGCCCCTGCCCGCGACCCCGTGTTCTGCGTCTTGCCACTGGGATCCAAATATCATGCCTCAAAGAAGCAGGTCGACCGATGCAGCCTTTAAACGTCCGAATCTTCTAGCGAAATTCCCCCGGCCCGAACGAGGAGGAGACTTAAACGCGACTCAGCAGAGTCGACACGCAACACTTCCTACCGCTCGAGAGCGGCGTGGCCGAGTTTCCCAACGGGGAGCGGCGGAAAGGAGGACGGGCAAAACAAGCTGCAGCGGATGCTGCGGATGACCCTGCATATTCTACGCCGACTAAACTGATTAGAGCTGCAAATAATGTCAACGTTATGCTGCTCAGGCGAAGCTGAGAAGAGGGAGGGGATGAGGGAGCGAACGCCAAGAGTAGGAGAAGGAGGAGGAGGAGGAGGAGGGGGAGGAGGGGGAGAGGGAGAGGGAGGCGGGGGAGAGGACTGGTGAAACGTCAAGACCGTCTCAATGCTGGTTCGCGCACAGCACCATGGACTATTCCACCGCCTCACACACAAATGCGGACTGAATTGTCAAAGAAGCGCTCGACATCATGAGGGGCCGTGCCCCAGGCAAACTCACGCACAGCAGGGGAACAGAAGGGACGGCGGGGGATGGGTGAACGAAAAAAAAGCCAGGAGTGGGAGGGCCAGAGGACAACAAGCACACGTACAAACATCAAAATTCGAGGACGAAGGCAACACCGACCGGCGGGCGCTGGAGACTCGCTGAATAACAGCGGCGCGCCCGGCGAGCGTGCCCGGTTCACGCACGCGCGCAACGAACAAACCACATAGAACGAGGCCCGCTGAGAGGCGGGAAAAGGAGAACGGAAGAGTGGAAGGGGGCAACACAATGCTCGCGCCAAGCACCCCAGCCTCCAGCCGCCCAGGCAGCCTGGAACACTTCGCCTGGCCTGCCTGGACCAACAAGGTGACGCCAGCCTCTGAGCTGCAGCCCGAGCCCGTAGAGCTCAGGGTCATGCTGCTGGCACCGGTCGGGCAGCCCGAAGCCGCACGTCAAGCACCCGTTGTGCATGGGGTAGCCACGCGAACCACCAAAACTCTCCTGAGGGCAGATCCTGATGGGAGCTTTCAAGTGAACCACAAGCTGACACGGGACACCCAGGACGCAGCCAGACCGAACAACTCCAGCCCCGATGATTCAGAGAAGCCAAAACCCGACGGCATGGTTGAGGGTCCAAGCCATCCTGGGACTGCACGGCGCTGCTGGGATTTGGTGCCGCTGGCGAGCTGACCAGGGCTGCGCGGGATGGATGGGCATGGCGCTGTCCTCGCGTGCATTGTCGACCAGAGGGGCTGAAACGAATTAACCAGATGGTTGGCACCTCCTAGATATTGGCCTCTGTTTTTTTGTGCCTGGACAGAACACCTGGGCGACACAACCCGAAGGGAGGTGCCCAAGGTGCCTGCATGAATTCACATGCAGTCGGACCTCGCAACACGAACGGCGGCACGGACCGCCCCCGGCGTGATCCGCGCCGCCGTTGCGAGGTGCCTCGAGATGCCACCCCGAGACACGGCCACCGGCACCACCCCCACTTGGCCGCCGGCCTCAAGCAGCGGAGGCCCCGCTGCCCAAATATATTGGCCTCTCTGACTCGCTCCGTCTGGCTGCGGGGGGAAATACATAGCAACGTAGGCCACGTCCAAAGTATTGCGCTCGCCTCGCACGGCGTTGTCCTCGCGTGCATTGTCGACCAGAGGGGCTGAAACAAATTCACCAGATGGTTGGCACCTCCTGGATCTTGGCCTCTCTGACTCGCTCCGTCGGGCTGCGGGGGGGGGGAAATCCATAGCAACGTGGGCCACGGCCACAAAGTATTGCGCTCACCTCGCACGGCGACGCGTCTCTCCCCGAAGATCCGCGCGGCTGCGGCCACACGCGTCTCACATGACTACGGTCGGTGCTCCTTATTGACTACCTACCAGACCACCCCAACCCAACCCGAAGACCCGAATTTCGGGTTGGGGGGGGTAAGGGTTCCACACGAGATTTTTCGATGTTTCCCGAACCCCCCCCACTGGAAATCGAGGGTAAATCTGAGCCTTCGGGTTGGGTTGGGGTGGTTTGGTGGGTGGTGATTATACGATCGTGATCCTTCAGCTCTGGGTACTTAATACTTAATGGCGCTTCCCTGGCACCCCATGGCGACTCAATCGCTGCACGTCCGTTCGCTCTGCCAGTCAGTGGGGCATCATCTGACGCTGAGGGTCAAGATGTCTGCACTCCTCGGTGCCCCTGAAAGAGACTGAAGTCAAACTGTCTGCACTCCTCGGCGAAATCCGTGAGGCGATCCCCGCCTGCTGGCTACGGGTTGTGCCACAGGATGCGGAGGCGGTCGTTCGTGTCCAGGGAAGCGTCCTCCTGCCAACGGACCTCCTCGCTCCACTGCGGCGCGCATCAGAGCGTGACCCCTCGCAGAGGGACTGGGCGGGACGAAGGAGGAAAAAAAAGCCCTACATCGCTCGAACACCGAAGGTTCTCCCCCGTTCCTCCCTCTCCTTCTCCTCGTATTCCTCCTCATCATACTCATCCTACACCTCCTCCTCCTCCCTTCTCCTCCTCCTCCTCCTCCTCCTCCTCCTCCTCATCCTCCTCCTCCTCCTCATCCTCCGAAGTCTGAACGTCGAACGGCAGAATTTCGACAAGAAAGCCTGTCATGGGCCACCGACCCCGCTTCGAAGGAATCAAGAACGCACCAGGGCCTGGCCCTTCCTTATCCAGTGTCCCCGCTTTATCAAGCAGCTGGAAATTCAGAGCGTGAGCAAGAAGCCTGACCGAGCTCTCGACATACTCCTCCTGCGTGATCTTCCGAGCTGGGCTGGTCTGTGGGGGGTCTCAGAGCCCGAGACAAGCAAAGACTTGAGCATGCTGCCTCAGATACTCTGCGGCAAACGTGGGGAGGGGGATAAACTGGAGGAGGAGGAGGAGGAGGAGGAGGGGAACGAAGAAGAGGAAGGAAGAAAGAGGAGAAGAAAAGAGTGCGGAACAAGAGAAGGAGGAGGAAGAGGAGCAGCAGAAGCAGCAGGAAGAGGAGCAAAGAGGAACGGGAGAAGTGGCCGCAGGAGGGGCAAAGAGCCGCCCACACCACTCACTGGAACCCCTGGGACTCGCTCGTAGAGAGTCACACGAAGATCTGACCTGATATGAAGAGGTGTATGAGGGTTTGAGGCAAGATGCATCTGTTATTATTGTACGGAGCCCCTGGTAGTCCATAGTACCGTTAAGTCGGGCCTGTCCCCCATACATGGGGGATTTGGGGCGATTAAAAAGATTCAAAAAATACCGCAAAATCGTCCCCTGATTATTTTGTTGACTATTTTGGGGGTTTCCTCCTGTCGAGGGACAGGCCCGACTTGAGATGACCGTTCAAACGCTGCTCGACCTTCTGGAGAGATCCTAGGGTGAGACGCACAGGGACATACTGATACTAAATGTCCTCCTTGGAGGCGCGCGTCCGACCCGAACATATAGCATACCCATCTTGTAGTGCATCGTTTCCCGAGCGGCGTGGCCAGGAAGCGCCGGCCACGACGCCTATACTATAAGAATTATCGGTGGGCGCGTAGCCCCTGGGAGGGCGACGCAGATTTATCGGGCGTTGGCTGAACTGGGTTTAGTGGGACCTGGTTTAGTGATGTGTACTAAGGGACGCCCTCCCGCCCCGTTCCACTAACCGGAACTGCCGTCACCCGAAAAAACAGCAGCTACGGCAGACCTGGTTCAGTGACTCTGGCCAATTTAGGGGCTCCAGGGGCCCTACCACTAACCGGGTCCCCTTACCTGGGGTCCTGGCTATACCCGAATATAATATAAGTATGTTGGGGTGACGCCGATGTGCGGGGAGGCCCAGACCGCCGCGGCTCGATCCGCCTCGAAACCCTGGCCCGCTCCGCGCTCCGTGCGAGGCCCCCGCGGGCCGGCCTTGCGGGAGCTGCGCGGTTCCCCTCGGGGGCCGTGGGCGACCCGAGGAGGAGGAGGAGGAGGAGGAGGAGGAGGAGGAGGAGGAGGAGGAGGAGGAGGAGGAGGAGGAGGAGGGGGAGGGGGAGGGGGAGGGGGAGGGGGAGGGGAGGGGAGGAGGAGGAGGAGGAGGAGGAGGAGGGAGGGAGGAGGAGGAGGAGGAGGAGGAGAGGAAGGGAGGGAGGGAGGGAGGGAGGGAGGAGGAGGAGGAGGAGGAGGAGGAGGAAGAGGAGGAGGAGGAGGGAACGGGTCGCCTTAGCTTTCTGGAGAAACCCTCCAGCGGGAGCAGGACCTTAGTGGGCCCTGGAAACGACAGGGCCATTTTTGTTACCGTTTTCGTTGTGCCGCTTTTTTATTGCCGGTCCCGACGCCGCTGTGTTACCAGTTCCATCGCAGTGTTTTTACAGGTTCCAGCTCCGGTTCCAATCCTGGAGCCGTTTTTTGCCGTTTCCAGTCGCCGTTTTTCCCCATTTCCATTTTCAAGAGGCACTACTTGGGAAACGGTGAAAAAACGGCCCTGCCGCTTCCGAGGCCCACTAAGAGCAGGACCCCACACCGCCGCGAGAATACCGTCGCCGCGCTTCCACAGGCAACGCCAGGTAAGGAACGAGGGAGCTTTTCTGGCCACGGCGAGCCTCGGCCACGAATAGGTTACCCACCCTCGAAAATCAAGGAACGGGCCGAGACCCTGAGCCTCTCCTGAGTCCAAAGTGGTCCTCAATTCAGCGTCTTAGCTCTAGGACGACGGCTAGGTTTCTCACAATCTCGGCGTCCTGCATTTCCTCAGCCCCGGGGCCGTCAGAAGAGGACACACCACGGAAAACCAGTCCCAGGAATGGGGCCACATGTCCTAAGACCCAACAGGCTGGAAGAATAACACAATCGGGGGTTACGAGGAGAAATTCGAAGATTTGTTGCTCGGCCGCGTGTGTAAGCTTCCCCATCAAATCGATGAGCGAACAAGCTCTCGCGCGCGGACAGCGAGTGGAGTGAGGCGCGCAAGAGACGAGAGTGGCGAGGCATTGCCGCACTGAAAACTGGGTGAAGGGGCGCTACGTTCCGTAGAGGCTCTTGGCTGGAAAACAAGACGATGAGCATCAATGGTGCACACCAGCACTCAACCTACCCGAGTCCCAACCGAATGCTGAGGGAATAAAAACAATTTCTGATAAGAAGAAGACAAATTCGACCAATACGGACCTGACCAAGCAAGAACTGGAGGCACCTCTTCTGTCCACTCGACTGGTAAGACGACGATGACAAGAAGGGAGAAGAGGACGATAAGGAGGCGGACAAGAAGGACAGCGTGGAGGACGGGGGGAAACCGAGGAGTATCAGGAGGACTACGACGAGGAGGAAGATAATCACACTGACTAGGAGGAAGATGAAAACGAGGAGAACGAGTACGAAAAGGATGAGGACGACAAGATCGACGACGAAGGGCCCGCCTGAAGCGAGCGAGGACGACGACTATTGAGAAATGAGCCTCGGAAACCTCGGCCAACGTTTGGCGAGATCCTGGGCACGCCGCACACCCCGTTGACGAGGGCCCCATGAGGCACCCAGGAGGCTCCAAGCGAGATCCCGGGTGGCGCCAAAGAGGGGCCCCAGACGGCACAAGCCGTCCAGATCCGCCTGGGGCCCCAGCTTATGCCCCCCCGGGGCCCAGCGTGAACTGCCGGAGGCCTCCGAGATGGCCCAGGAGCTGCCCCGAGAGTGCAAAGGCTCCCTGCGCCATCCCCCTTGGGGGCGGGGGGGGGCCCAGCGCTGGCGGGGAGCGAGCGGACCGCCCAGCCGACATGCTGCTCTCCCAGGTTTGGAGGCCTAGAAATGAGCACCAACACCAACACATGGGGTTGCCTCCACAGGGGGAAGATGATCCTAGATTTCGGTGTTGGTGGTAATATTTCGGCCACCTGGGAAGCCAGAGTTGTTACCACCATCCCCGAGATCGGGATCTTCTTCCCTCGGTGGGGACACACCGCCGATCTTGGCGTTGGTGTCAACCTCTAGGCCTGCGACAGGTGGCCCGTGGAGCGAGAGGCCCGCCCAGCCGCCATCCTGCTCAGAGAGGCCCGGCGGAAGCTCTCCCAGCACTCCTGGGGGGCCTCGGGGAGGCCGCAGGCGCCCGGGCACGCCGGGAGCGCAGGCGGGCTGGCCCCACACCACCCTCGCGCGCCACCCCCTCTGGAGGAGGAGAGGGAGGAGGAGGAGGAGGAGGAGGAGGAGGAGGAGGAGGAGGAGGAGGAGGAGGAGGAGGAGGAGGAGGATCCCCGCTCGCTCCGCTGCGTAGCAGTCGTCTCGGGGCCGCGCGCGGGACCGCACGCGCGAGGCTAAAGGTGAGAGCCCCGACGCGCGCCTGCCCCGAGCAGCGCTCTCAGGAGGCGACCCCCAGGGGCGGCTCCTGGACGACCCGCGGGTCGTAGCAGCCATACCCATGCCCAAAGCCCTTGCGCAGTGACAAGTCTAGAACGGGCGGTCGCGAGAACGAAAGGCCAGGCGGAGGGCCCCGCCGACAGAAATCGGGCGACCAAGTAGTCGCCAACACTAGCGAAATACTCAACCTGTCCCCGTGCAGGAGCAGGGAGGGAGGCAAGGACAGTAGAGGCGGCGGCGGCCTGCAGATATCGTTCGGCGCTGGAGGCTTGCCTCCAGCGGCCGCGCCAGAAGACGCGAGGGACGTCTTCGGTGGCAATATAGAAATCTGTAGCGCCTGAGCCTCGAAGGCACGCGGGGGTCACGTTGAACCCCGCGGGGGCTTTCGCCAGCGGGGCGCCTAACGCGCTTAGAAGATGGTTCCACCGAGTACGGAAGCCGCTCTGGCCGAAGGTAGAGAGCGGATCGGTGGGTCCCAAATGCCGAAACACCAGCTCCATAATCTTCACCGTTGCTCTGTCCGAACAACGGGCGTGCTGGGTCGGATAGGTCCGACGAGTCTTCGGAGCGGGGATCGACAGGAACGCATCACCGTCGGCTTCAAGCCTGTCGCACGGAAGCGACAGATCGCAGCGCCGAGCATTGAAGACCTCCCCAGGCCGCAGAAACATCGTAAAACCCATGAGCAGCAGAGCAGCCATCTCCGGCCAGCCCCACGCTAAGCACACTCCGACCATGGCCCGCAGAAGCGCTCTAGGGAGCGGCGGGCGGAGGCGCGGGGGCTCGGCGAGCTTCCACTGCTTGGCCACGTCCCACGCCTCCGTCAGGAAGGCTTTCCAGTGGGGGTGGTTGGCCTGTATGGCCAAGATGGCATGGACTAGGATGTAGCGCGGGAAACCCGCATCGTGAAGCCACACACCAAAAGTGGCAAGGAATCTAGCCAGGAGGATGCCGCTGCGGTACAGCGTCTGGGGAGGGACCCCAGCGTGCTCTTCGAGCCACAACTCGAACGCGTCAAGCGACCTCGATCGGCGCTCCACATAAGCGGGAGTAAGATGGGCGTCGCGAACGAACGGCGATCGCGGTCCGCGAACAGGGACGCTAAGCCCCAGGCTCCCAGCCGCAGCCGCTTCTGGGGCAGCGTCCACGGCGCGCACGCAGACCCCGCACACGCACCAAAGGACAGCGGCGCGGGCGAGCGGGCCGCTGGGGCGCCCCTCCGAGCCCAGGACTGCGCAACGCTCGCGGCGCGAGCGGTAGAACGGCGGCAGGCGGTTGGCGACGATAGGTCGTTCGACGCCCGAACGGCGCGCGAGACCAGCGCGGACCTCAGTGTAGTCCATTTGCGTCTCGCGCACCACGCGGCGGGCCTCTGCTTCGATCTGCGAAGACAGAGGCGTCGGCCACGCGCACACGCCTGTCTCACAGGCCGTCGCCCACGCGATGCTGGGAGCGACGCTAGAGCGCCGCCGCGCAGGCGTCCATCCCAAAGGATGTGGGACGCTGGAGATAGCGTTGAGCCCAGCTCGCCAATGCGGTGGCGCGCTCCCGTCGCTGCTCCAAAACTCGGGAGGCGGGGCAAGACCATCCGCGGTGGCGTGACCTAGCAGGTCAATCAGGCAGGCTAGGGCAGCAGCCTGACGGCGACGGTGCACGTTCGCCCCGAGGCCGATGCCGCGCACCGCACCGAAAGCCGTGGCCCGAAAATTCGCTGGGACAGCGCTCGCGCCGACGGCCCCGGAGATCAGCGTGAGCCAGTTCGGCTCAGCGACGGGCGCGAGACCCTCCGGGCCGAAGAGGCGGCCATAGGTCAGCAGGCCCTTGTGCAAGCAGGCCAGCGCGTCGTCGCTCTTGGGCTCATTGAGCCCATCTGGGCAGAAGTGCTGCAGCCACCGAACTGCATTCTGGCACAGCTCGGCCATGGCAGGGTCGTCCGACGGGTAGTCGACCACCACTACGGGCTCGCCCCCGATCTCGACACGCCAGCCGAGGGCGCCTGCCGCACCAACCGGCAGGGGCGGGTCAGGCGGGTCGGGCGAAGAGAAGCCGCGATCCCGATGACGCTGCGCATGTGCCGCGGCCGCGGGCGAGTGCAGAGCAGCAGCTGGCTGCGCAGGGGAGTGCGAGCGGGCCGAGGGTGCCCGGGAGGCGGCCGCTCGGGCCGCTCGACGCCTCTTGCGGCGAGGGCGCGGGCGCCCAGCTGCAGGTGAAGCAGCGGCGCCCGCGTCGGACGGGGCGTCGGAGGCCACGTCCGAAGCGGGCGGCGTCGCAGGAGCCGAGCGCGCTGGCGCAGCATCGGCGGCTGGACGGGAACCCTGCAAGGTCGTAACGGCCCTGCTGGAACCTGCCTCGCCAGCCGATGAGCCGCCGTTGGTAGCGGCTGCCAGGGACGACGCGAGACCAGGGAAGGCCCCCAACTCGCTGTCCAGCGGAAGACGCGGGTCAGCCGTGGCGGCATGAGTAGCCGCAGCGCCCTGGGCGAGGGAGCGCCGGTAGCGCCATCGCGAGTGGGCGGATATGACGACGGCACGCAAGTGTTCGTCGTCGGGGTTGGCTTCAGCAGCATCCATAGCTGCCTCGAGCGCGCGGGCGGCTGTCGCGACGTTGCGCGCGCGGCGGCCAGGGTCGGCTACGCCAGCACGCGCATCCGCACGAAAGCGACTCCCCATGGTGGCGAGGGGAGCCCGAGCCGCGCGCTCGGGCAGCGGGAGAGGCGAAGCCTGCTGCGTCGGCGGGGGCGGTGGCCCCGCGCGGTCGCCGCCTCGGGAGCGAGACCGCTTCGGGCGAGAGCCACGGGCTCGGGCACGAGCCTCGGGGGACACCGTCACCGCGGGCCCAGCTCGTACCGGAGGAGGCGGAGGCGGCGGAGGGGAAGCCCGCGCTGCAGGCGGGGCAGGCGGCCTCGGCGCAGGAGGGCGAGGGCACGCCTTGGGCCCCGCACGCGAAGTCCACAGCACAGGCGGCGGAGCTGATGCGCGCCGCGTCGCCGGCCTCTTGGGTGGGCAGGCGCGGATCAAGCTCTCAGCCGCCGAAAATGGGGGTGCTGAGGCCGACCCCGCCGCCTTGCTGGTGCTTCCTCCGCTGCTGGCCGCGCGCCTCGGGCCACGAGGCGAGCCGCGCCGCGAGGCGAACCCAGGGGGCGGACCCTGAGGCTCCGGTGGCTTCGGGGCGCGCGGGTCGCGCTCCCCCGATCCCTCCGCATCGGTGCCGTACGGGTTGGGAGACTCTGAGCGGGGAAGCGGTCCGCCAGGCGAGGGTGAAGGCCCCTCGACGTCGCTCGGCCCTCGGCGCTCCGAGCGCGAGCGGCTGCGCCGGGGGCGATCCGACGCCTCTGGGCGGGCAGCGAACAGCCTCCGGTTGGCTGCTCGCCTGGCGGTACGCCCAGGCCGAGTGGGCGGACCCGCAGGGCCTTCCAAAGGAAGAACGGCCCCGCGGTGGGCGGCGGAGGCCGCCCGACGGCGCTGCTCGCGCCCGCCATTCGGCCGAGCAGGGTCGCCCCGGCGGTGGCGCGACCGAGAGGCGCGCGCCTCGGAAGCTTCGGGGCGAGGGCCAAGCCGCTCTCGCACAGCACGTGCGTCGCGACGGGAGAAGGTAGGAGGCACCTCCTGGTCGGCGCGGGCGCGGGCCCGAGCGTCGGCGGCGAAGGCCGCTTCGCGCTGGTCCAGAGACGGGCCCCCGCGGGAGGGGATCCCAGCAGGCGCCCGCGCTGCAAGGACTTCACGCTCGGCGCGAGCCTGAACCTCGCCTCGGTTGGAAAGCCCCCTCAGCGTCGAATTGAACCGCCGAGCCAGCTCGTGAGGAGCTGTCCGAGGCTCGCCTCGGCTCTCCGCCTGCGCTGCGGCGGTGAGACGGCGCACGTGGATGCGCTCAGCCATTCCCGTCGCCAGGTCCTGGCGAGCACGAGCCCTCGCAGCAGGGTCGTGCAGAGGGTCAGCGATGACAGCCCGCTGGATGGCGCTGCGTGCCTCCCTGATCTCCCCGAGGTTCGCTGCAGCACGCGATGCGACGTCCTCGGCCACCGCGAGCGCCTCCGACGTGGGCCTGGCCGACTGCGGCTCGGAGACCCCCGAGCGGCGAGTCGGAGGGCCCGCGGAGCCGTCCGTGAGCTGCGAGCCCGCACGGATCTCGCTCCGCGCGGCGTG